CCCCAAAACCCCAAAACCCCAAAACCCCAAAACCCCAGATAAATAAAATTAGACTGAATTAGTAATTTATTATTCAATGTATTTTACTAGAAACAAATTTATTGCTCAACCTCCTCCAAATATTTTTAAAGCCCAGCCTTGGAATGGACAGTCAATTTATTGAAGCTGAGACACTCAGATTGTAGAGTTACCTATTTCATTAGTTGATAGTAGGTCCGGAGTCATTCCAGTACTGTTGCCTCCAACAACAGACATAAAAATATAGTGTATCAAATCCCAAACCTCATTGAAGTCTGTCCTTTGAGCATAACCAAATCTAAGAGGACTAATGAAGCCAAATTGAAGAGGTTGGGGAAGTCAAGAGCTCCTGTTGCTGAACTTACGGCCATGGAGGACTCTCCAGCAGACTCAGTCCCTAACCTTGAGAAGGATTTTCTAGATGAACTGCCAGCTGAAATTTTCCAAACTTCCAAATCCAGTTCTCGGGAAAAGGGAATTAAAAATGAAGACGGCTTCGGAGATGAAGGAAACATGGACTTTCTGAGATATCCAAAGATAAGACCCCATTTATCATTCATCAAAGACTTTGCCCATTCAGTCAGCTACTCTTCCAACAAGTCTCTTGGAAAGAAAAGGATCTTCCATTGTGAATTCGGAGGTTGCTGTAAGTCCTTCGACAAAGTGTGGAACTTCATCAATCACGCGAGAATGCATCTGAATATGAAGCCCTACAAGTGAGAGACTTGAGGTCGAGGGTTTACTCAGAAAGGTAATCTTAAAATACATCAAAAAGTTCATGCCTAGAGCTAACGATAGTGGTCTACTTTTAATAAGTTTTATTGAAAAATGCTTTGGCTGCTTTCTTTGTTTAAATCCTTATTATAAATACTCTAATACTAAGATCCTTAAGAATTTTTGGCCACCAGAGTTCTTACAAAGTATATAAAAATAGGATTTTTTAATGACAGTAATTCTTATTCCAAATTTCATCAATATTTGTTAACCATTAATTCTAACAACTCAAACTCTTCTATTCATTCTTTCAAAAATTTCAAAGCCTACCAGAAGGGGAATCAAGCTGTAAATGCATTTAGCTCGATATTATAGTGAAATCGGGAGTTAGCTTCAAGACAATTTTCATTTTCAATATCACATTTAACCCCAGGGGTTTTGGGGTTTTGGGGTTTTGGGGTTTTGGGG